AGACATGACAGGAGCATTACGATGTTTCATTATACTTACAGGAAATACAACTAAAGCTACAGTGAAACACTATCTCACGCCTACTAGGTCTACAAAATCCAGCTTGGGCAAGGTGTCGCTGGCCCCCTCTTACATGCTGGTGGGGGAGGGCAATTTGGTACCACCCCTTTAGGGGCCTAAATAAAGCTCCTAGCACTTCTGCACCAAGGAATTTAGCCTAAGAAAATAGTCCGACTTGGGCAAAAAAGGGTTTGTACAAGGAATAGTCAAGTTAGCATTGTTCGTTATAAAAGTAAAGACCCTAAATTTCCACAGGAAAGGGGATAAATTCTGGAACTATAAAACTCCGTTTTCGTGTTAATCCCACCTGTATCTGAACGTGTGGGCGCCCCCTAAGCTACATTAAGTATAAGGACCCCAAGTAAAGAAACTGACCTTTTGCAGAAACGCATGTACATGTTCCTGCATAGACTTTCTCTGTTGACACGTAAGAAACGGGTTTCTCTCTGCCCCAGGGGAGGAGAACTGGGCCTCGGAGGTTAGGACTGGGAAAAACACATCAAGTCTTCACCAAACACCCTTTCAGGCTCCTTGAATTTTCTACCCTGTGCACCTGAACACACTTTTGTTCTCTTGCAAGCAGTTGCTTTGCACTGGCGGCAATGAGGACACGGCGGAGTCCCAGCTCGCAGGGAGCTTAGGTTCTGACGGCATCAGAAGACAACACGCTCTGGACGAGCGCAACGCCCAAGGGTCAGCGGCAGCAGCGAGCAGGGGGCACGGGATGCGGGGAGGCTCTTCGGAAGGCATGAAAGTCTGACGTGTTCCGAAACGTGAGCCGCGCTGGGGGACACGGCGCACGACCGGGGACAGAAGGAGGCCACCGCGGTCGCAAAGTCTAGACCGTGCAAAGGCCCCGTGAGCAGCCAGGAGCCCAGGCATTCCCTGCTCTAGCGAGGTTTCCTTCCGAACGTCCGGTCGCACCGCTTCCCATGGAACGGCGGGCGCTGCCCCACAGCACCGACCCCGCGGCGGCCTCCACGCGCCGACGAGGAACTCTAGGCCGAGGGAAGGCGTGGGAGGGGCCGGAAACGGGCAGGGCCGAAGCGGACGGGTCCCTGGCTGGGTCCCAGCAGCCGCCACTTACCACCGAGACCGCCTCTTCGTCCACAGCCTGACGCCAGCCACCGCCGCCATCTCCACTTCCGCACGCGCGCCGCCACTTCCGCTTCCGTCAGTGCCGCGGCCCCGCAGGTGACGCGGCGCCCTTCTCTCGCCCAGGCTGAAGCACCGCCCTCTCTTAAAGGAGCCACGGACTAGAGCTACTTGGAGGCAGCTTGGGGTCCCGGCCACGCCACCGCCTGGTCGCGCGACACAGGCTGAACCCTGCCCAGTCGTAAGGTGGAAGACAGGCCACCGGTTCCCGAGTCCTCCCAGTCCTAGGGCTTCTGCCCTAGAGGTTGTAGGAACTCTTCTCGTGACCCCAGCTCCAGGGTCGGCTCCCTCTTCCGGAGGAGACCCTTGGGGCCCAAGCACCTGCCACCGCCCTCTGCTGGACCCCAGCTTCGCCATCTACAAAGGAAGCGGCCTGCTTGCCCGAGCTCTGGGGTCCGTCAAGCGCGGCACCTCAGGACCCAGAGTGCCCTGTCCTGGCCTCTCTGCAGTACGACTGATGGGAAGCTGTCGAGGGGGCGGTCCCGCGATGACAGCAGGGCCCCCACGCCTGGCGTCCTCATCGCGCCCACCCAGCAGAGCTCACCAGCCTCCGCAGGAGGTAGGCAGGGGTCCTGGGCTCAAATGCTGCCCCGACCCATCACCACCCAGGCAACCAGCTCCCTAAGGGCCCCCCGGACTAGACCGAGACCCACCCCGCTTCCACAGAGGATAAAACTCATACGGGGGTCCGTGCCAATCTTTCCTGGGGACTCAGGGGCGAAACCTGGGAACCCGGCCCCCTTTCGAGCTCGCTGAGCCCTCGAGACAGTGAGCAGAGCCATGAAAGGAAGGAGAGCAGTCCTAAAATTTTAAATCTTTAATTTCCGTTTCACGTATTTTCTTCTTGCTTCCAAAAGGAAAGGAGTGCGTAGCTCTGTTGCCTGTACATCGTCCACGGCCCCTGGGTCGGGGCGGGGTCCCCTGGGCCGCCCGGGGGTCCACATGCAGCCCCTGGGGGGCCGGCGCGGGGTGAGGTCCAGGGGCCGCCTTATTGCTGAGGTCCGGCCGGTTGGGGCCCGGCCGCCGCTAGGCGCGCTGGCTGGGCAGCTCCTGGGAGATGAAGCGGCGCAGGCGCTCCAGGTACTGGCTGTAGAGCTCGATGTCGTTGTGCCCGGCGCCCTCCACCCACAGCGGCTCCACGGCCTTGGGGCAGCGCTCGTAGAGGGCCAGCCCGTGCGAGAAGTCGATCACCTCGTCCTCCGTGCCGTGGATGATGAGCACGGGCGACGTGATCTTGGACACCTTCTCGATGCTGCGGGACGGGCGTGGGGCGGGTGAGACCTCGCGCCCAGTCCGGGCCCCGCCCCGCCCCCGTCCCAGCCCCGGCCCGCTCACTTGGGGAAGGCGTCGAAGCAGTAGGTCTTCTTGGTGTCGGGGAAGGCGACGCGCATGCCCGAGGTGAGCGGTGAGTGCAGCACCACCGCGGCGCACTCGTAGCGCGAGGCCAGGTCCACGGTGGGCACCGTGCCGATGCTCTGCCCGTACAGGATGATGCTGTCCGGGCTGATGCCGTACCTGGCGGCGCCGGAGCAGGGTCAGCCGCGGCCTCCGACGCGCGCGCACCCTTCCCGCCGGCGGGCGTCCCCGGGCCCAGCTCTGGATGCGACCCTCCAGTCTCCCCGCTTAGCCAAGTCAGTGGGTCAGGCCCACGCTCCACACCAGTCCCGAGGGCCTCCCCCAGCCCCCAATCACCGCAGCGGTGGGCGGAGCCAGCGGCCCCGCCCCATTCCCTGGCGCTGCCATTCACTGGCGTTTCCTCGCCAGGATCTGCAGGGATCCCGCCTACGGAGGGACCCTGGGGCTGGGGTAGGGGAGGCCCTGGCGCCTCTCCTCCTCCTGGTCACCCCTAGGCGCACACTGGGAAGTGTGTGCCCCCCATATCCTGAATGTTTCACGCTTTCCTGCCCGGGTTAGAAAGCCGTTCCTAGTGCACTGGCCCGGACAGGGGATACTCTTCCTCCCTGCAGCCCTTGCCCACCCCCTTGGCCATGAGGAATTCAGGCAGCTGTGTCCCCTGATGTCTCCACCCAATTTTGGACTCTCAGAGTCCCCACACCCAGTGAGGTGCCAGTGCAACCCAGGTCAGCATCAAGGGTGGTGGCTGCAGGGGTGGCACCTCCGCCCACCAGCACCTTCCCTTGGGAGTGGACAAGTCCTCGGCCACCTCAGCACCACCAGCTCCCACCCAGGGCCACCCCCACCCCCAGGTCACTGGTGTGCGGCCCCTGGCCCAGCTGATCCAGCACCAGTTCCAAGGCCTCCTCGTGCCCAGTCCCAACCATGCAGGACCCGCCTGCCACCCTGCCCATGCCGGGACCCCACAACTCTCCCCCCAACACGCTCCAGGCTCTGATTCCAGGCAGCTGCCCTCCTGCAAGGCAGGAGCATGGGCAGGTGTGCGTCCCGTCTGCCTGGCATTCGGACTCCACCAGCAAGCCTGTCCCTGTCCCTGGCCTGGAACGCCAGTCTCCTGGCAGTACTCCAGCTCAGCACTCACCCATGCCCCAAAGGGTGCTGCCTGACTTGTGCCTGCGGCCCCAGCTCTGCCCCAGCCTCCCTGGCCTGCTCCCTAGCAGCCATGGCCAGTAGTGTGCTGAGTCAGCCCAGCCGTCACCTGCTCCACGCAGGAGACCCCAGCTGCCACCTGGATGTCACCACTCAAACAACAGAACACATCCCCAGTGCAGGCCCTGGGCACACTCTGGCCTCCCCCTCACAGCTCTGGGCCTAAGTTCCTGCAGGACAAAGCGGCAGCAGGACAGATGGCCCAGCAGACAGAGCTGAGAGCTGGCCATGGCAGGTGTGACTCTGCCAGTGCCCCGGGCAGCAGACAGGAGGGGCCGAGGAAGCCGCATGAAGCGGCGGTCGGTGTCAGTGCCCCACACTGCCGGGAGGCCCCCAGAGCCAGGGTGGTGCCAGGGTACCCAGCTCCCAGGCCCACAGCAGGGACTGCCCGGGATATCGGCAAGGCAATGAGGACCCCACCTCCCCAGGGCCTCTGACTTCTCAGAGCTGCGCCTGGTCCCTGCGGGAGCGGGTCGGACCAGTGGGCTGGGCAGGGCCAGGACGAGACAGCCCCAGTGGGTGGTGAGCAGGAAAGGCCGCCAGAGGCCCACCCGGGTCTCCTCATCCAAAGCAGCACCAGCCCGGGCGGTGTTCAAACACCTTTTCAAACACCGGTGAAGAGCCCAGGCAAGCGCAGGGCTGGGGACCTGGATAGCCAAGAGGGCTGGATCTCGAATCAAAGCTGGCCCAGACCTTGACCCTGCCTTGGGACGGCCACGCTCCACAGCCACAGGGCCCCATGGGCCAGGCCTCGGGACCTGGATGCAGCAGCCTCGCCGCACCTGGCCCCAAGTGCTGCCTCAGCCGATGGGCTCCCAGCCACATGTGCAGACCCCCAAACACCACGAACCCCTCCCGCCAGGTGGCATCCACGCCCCTGTGACAAGCTCACCCCCTTCCTATCTTCAGGCCAGGGGCTCCCAGGAAGCCTGGCTCCACAGGCCAGGGTGTGGGAGGACCGCCTGGCCACACCTCGGCCACGTGGAGGCGGCACCCACACACCCGAGCTCGCCTGTCTGGCTCTCTGGCCCTGTGCGTCCACTGTGGCTCCTCTGCTGCAGGGCCACCCACCTTCCTCCCAGGGAAGCCCGCCCCCCCGGCCCAGTCCCCTCTCGCGTGTGCCCAGGCTGAGCTGCCTCCAGGGCTGCCCTCACCTGGTGCGCAGGGCCTGCCAGGCGGCGTCAATGTCGGCATAGAGGTTCCTCTCGGACGGCCTGCCCGAGCTGGCACCATAGCCGGAGTAGTCATAGGAGAAGATGTTGCAATGGAGGCGGGAGCCCAGGCCAATGTAGAAGCTGCTCATCTGGCCCAGGTCCACAGCGTTGCCGTGGGAGAAGAGGACCGTGTACCTGGGGCAGGCCGGGAAGGGCCGTTCACATCCTCATTCCCAGCGCCCAGCTGCAGGGCAGGAGGACGCGTACTGACAGCCCACCCCGGTGGCCAGCCATGCCCAGCGCCTTGTTTACTCCCCTCCCAAGGGGGCCCGAAGCCAGCGAATGGACAGGGGAGGCTACGACAGCACAGCTCCATCTCCGGGGGCTCCCCATGGGGAGAGAACAGGAGAGCCGGCAGGGGTACAGGCAGCCTGGGCTGCAGAGAGGCCAGCCAGGGAGCCTCAGGACTCCCATCTGTGAAGCGGGACACTGGGACCATTGGTCACATCCTCTCTCTGGGCAGACGTGCAGTGTGTGCCCGGATGCTGCAGGTCTCGCTGCCCTGGAGCCCTTCCTCCTGGAAGAGCCGGGACCCCCGGGGATGGAGCACACAGGCCCACCTTTCAGGACCTTCCCAGGGAAGACCGTGCTGCTGCTGGCAGGGCTATCTGCTCTCCCCTCACAGAATGGTGCCCTCACTGTTGGGAACAACTGGACCCCACCCCTGCCCCCAACAAGCAAATGCGCCCAATCCCTGCTCACATTCACGCAGCCCTCCTGCCCCGCCACCCTGCCCAAGCCCCGAGGCCGTGCTGCAAGGCCTGTCTGCTTCCCAGCACGGGAGCTGCCCCAGGTGGTGCCAGGAGCAGGCGGCCAGGCTGGCCCTACCATGGACTGCTTCCTCCAGTTCCCCCAGGACCCTGCCCAGCCCAGCCAGAAGGTAAAGGCTCGCCCTCTGGACTCAGATCTGGTCAGAACCCCACCTGGCAAGAAGGTGGATATAGGTCAGGGCGGCCCCTGTGCCCCACCCCAGCAGGCAACCACCAGGGGTTGGGTCGCTGGAGTCGCCCGGCCTGCCCAACTATGCCAGCTGGGGATGGCTTCCCTGACCCTGGTATCCGTGTCTGCGAGAGGAAATCGCTGGAGGGATGAGGCCAGCCCGGCCGGGGACACCACCCATGCCAGCTGGATGGCCCTTCACAGCAGGCTCAGGCCCTCTGGGGCACCACCAACCACACCAAGCACCCGGGGCAGAAACGGGAGCCCCAAGAACAGGGTGACCCAGCCCGGGCGCGGCCACAGCTGCTCACCTGGCACCAGGCACGCAGCGAACATACATGCAGGAGACACGGTTGCCGCGGGCGCTCTTGGTGGGGAAGACCTCGATGGTGTCCAGCTCGCGCTGGCTGTACTGGAAGTCGGCACGCTCCGTCAGGTGCAGCTTCCAGCGCCCGGGTGCACCCGAGGAGGCCCGCAGGGTCCCCAAGGGGGCGGCCC